CCCTTGCTTTCTCCCTCTCAATTTATGCCATGGTTTGTTGTTTACGTATGTTCATGGACCCTATCTGGGGTTTTCTTGGCCTTCCTTTGAGGTTGAGAGAGTGTGGCTCCTCTTTATCATTGGGCTATCTGCATTCCAGAATAGATTGGGAGCTTCCTGCCGATAACTTCCAGGAAAAGATAATTTTAGTCAACTTTTTCGGGAGTTTTTTCCCCAGGCCGAAGTGTTGTTTACGTGTCTTGTGTGCCGTGGCCACCGCGCAGTGGACAAACAGCCCAAACAAGCCAAGGAATGGGCAAACGGCGCGGCTTCCTGTGTGCCTCCCGCATCCCCGGCTGGGAAGGGGCCATTAATGTTTAATTCTTTCCCCTGTAAACTCTGGACCCCCTTCCTCTTTCTCTCCCCCCTCCCCTCCCCATGTTTTATTATGTCAGGAGGGATGCCTTAACGCCGCAGCTGCTTCCTGGCGGAGGGAGACGTCAGCCCTCCGCAAAACGGAGCCGGGGAAGAAGGGCAGCGGGGTTTCATGGCGCCCCGAGGATCCTCCGAGAGAGGCCTCCCTCCTCCCGCTCCCCATTCGCCCTCCGGTTACGACGATGGAGGCTCCCCTCTTTCCTCCCGATGCAAAACTATAGCTCCACTTTCCTTGTTCCAAGATAAGAAGCTCCTCATCTTGAATCTTTCCTCTTTTCCCCTTCCTCCCTCCCTCCCTCCCTCCTTCCTTCCCTCCTTCCCTTCCTCCCTCACTCCCTTCCCCTTCCTTCCTTCCTTCCTTCCTTCCTTCCTTCCTTCCTTCCTTCCTTCCTTCCTTCCTTCCTCCCTCCCTCCTCCCTCCCTCCCTCCCTCCCTCCCTCTCTCCCTCCCCCTTCCTTCCTTCCTTCCTTCCTTCCCTCCTTCCCTCCTTCCTTCCTTCCTTCCTTCCTTCCTTCTCCTTCCTTCTCCCTTTTCTTCCTTCCTTCTTCCTTCCTTCCTTCCTTCCTTCCTTCCTTCCTTCTTTTCTTTCTTCCCTCTCTCTCCCTCCCTGCCTTCCTTCTCCTTTCCTTCCCCCCCTTCTTTTTCTCCTTCCTTCCTTCCTTCCTTCCTTCCTTCCTTCCTTCCTTCCTTCCGTCCTTCCCTCCTTCCTCCCTTCCTTCCCTCCTCCTCCTTTCCTTCCTTCCTTCCTCCTTCCCTCCCTCCTTCCTCCCTTCCCTTCCTTCCTTCCTTCTTCCTTCCTTCCTCCCTCCCTCCCTCCTCCCTCCCTCCTCCCTCCCTCCCTTCCCCCCTTCTTTTCCCTCCTCCCTCCTTTCCCCCCTTCTTTCCCTCCCTCCTCCTTCCCTCTCTTTTCCTTCCTTCTTTCCTCTCTCCTCTTTCCTTCTCTTCCTCCTTCCTCTTCCTCCTTCCTTCCTTCCTCCTTCTCCTCCCTCCTCTTCTTCCCTCCCCTTCCTCTTGTCCTCCCTTTCTCCTTTCCTTTCCTCCTCCTTTCTCTCTTCCTTCCTCTTTCCTTTTCTTCCCTTCAACTTTCCTCCTTCTCTTCCTGCTTCTTCCCTTCCCTGTCCCCTTCCTTCCTCTCTTTCTTCTTCTCTTCCCCTTTTCCTTTCCTTCCCCCTTCCTTCCTTCTTTCCCCTTCCCTCCCTCCCTCCCTCCCTCCCTTCCTTTCTTCTTTCGTTTCCCCTTTCTTTCCTTCTCCTTCCTTCCTTCCTTCTCTTCCCTCTTCTCCTTCCCTTCCCTTCCTTCCTTCCTTCCTTCCTTCCTTCCTTCCTTCCTTCCTTCCTTCCTCTCCTTCCTTCCATCTTGCCCGATGTCTCCTTCCTTCCTTCTGTCCATCCGTCCTATCCTGTCCTTTCTTCCCCTTCTTCTTAGCCTTTCCCTGTCTCCTTTCCTACCTTTCTTTTCTTCTTGATGTCTTTCCCCCCCTACCTTCCTTTTTTGCCTTCCCTGTCCTACCCTTCTCTTCCTTCCTTCCTTCCTTCCTTCCTTCCTTCCTTCCTTCCTTCCTTCCTTCCTTCTTCCTTCTCGCTTTCTCTCTCTCTCTCTCTCTCTCTCTCTCTCTCTCCTTCCTTTCCCCTCCTCTTCTCTCTTTCCTCCTCCCTCACTCCCCCTTCCCTTCCCCTTTCCTGGCTGATGTCCCTTTCCTCCTTCCTTCCTGTCCTGTCCTTCCTTCTCCTTTCCCTTTCCCACCCTCCTTTCCTTCCTTCCTTTCCTTCTTGATGTCCTTTCCCCCATACCTGCCTTTTTTCCCCTTCCCTGTCCTACCCTTCTCCTTCCTTCCTTCCCCTCCTTCTCCTCTTCCTCCCTCCCTCCCTCCTTTCCGGATGCCCCTTCCTTCCCTCCTTCCCCAGATGGTGGGCCTGGCATAGGAAGGAAGGGGGACGGATGACTCACCTCCACCCCCTCCTCCTCCTCCTCCCCCTCCTCCCTGCCTTCTGGTCCTTCTCCCCTTTTGCCCACTTCCTGCAGCAGCAGGAGAGAAGCCTGCCTGGGCGGCAGAGGGGTGGGGGGAGAAGATGTGCGTCTCCTTTGGGGGTGCCAGGCCTGTCTGGCTGGAGGTGACTCACAAGGCAAGAACTCCCAGGAGAAGCCTCTGGACCCAGATAAGGAGAGAGGCTGAGGAGAGGCTCTGGGCTTCCTCCAGGTGGGGGTCAGCGGGCCAGGACCGAGTCACCGCCTAGCTATGGCCGCCTCTGGACTGGCCGGCTGCACACGAGGACCGTCTGCCCTCCATCCTGCATCCTGCACCTCTCTTTCCCCCTCTGTCCCGTTCTGTTTTTCCCTCAAGGCAAGAACTCAGGCCTTCCAGTCTTGACAACTCATCTAGGGTTTGTCTCAATGCCCTCAAGGCGCCCAGTAGCACCAGCCCTGGTTTGGACTTGGAAGGGAGACCGACGGCCTCTGAATATCCCGTACCTCTTATAAAACTATACAATAGGTAGGGCAGCCATATGCCAACAGGCAACTCAAAAGTGCATGTCAACAAAGCCCTAAAGATCTCTTCTGATTTGGGAAGTTAAGCAGGATCAGTCTTGGTTAGGACTTGGCTAAGACCACCAGCAAATAATACATACATGTGTGTGTGTGTAGCTTGTAGACATGACTTGTCACCTCTCTACAATTTGTAATGGGTTTTTCATATATATATATATATATATACACACACACACACACACATACATATATGTGTGTATATATATATTTGTGTGTGTATATATTTGTGTGTGTGTGTATATGTATGTGTAGTTTGTAGGCATGACTTATGGCCTACCCATGAATTGTATAGGGTTTTTCTTAGACATTGAATAGACATATGCATATATATGTGTGTGTGTGTATATGTATAGTTTGTAGGTATGACTTATGGCCTCCCTATTAATTGTATAAGGTTTTTATTAGGCAAGGAATACACATATATATGTATGTACACACACATACATATATATGTGTGTGTGTATTTATGTGTGTGTATGTATATATATGTATGTATAGTTTGTAGGCATGACTTATGACCTCCCTATGAATTGTATAGGGTTTTTCTTAGGCAGTGAATATTTATAAACACACACATATGCATATATATGTGTGTGTGTGTGTGTGTATATGTACATATAGTTTGTAGGCATTACTTATGGCCTCCCTACAAATTGTATAAGGTTTTTCTTAGGCAAGGAATATATATATATATATACACACACACACACACACATATACATATGTGTGTGTATATGTGTGTGTGTATGTATGACTTATGGCCTCCCTATGAATTGTATAGGGTTTTTCTTAGGCAATGAATATTTATACACACACATATACATATATATGTGTGTGTGTGTGTGTATATATGTGTGTGTGTGTATGTGTATGCGTATGTATACTTTGTAGGCATGAGTTATGGCCTCCCTACAAATTGTATACGGTTTTTCTTAGGCAAGGAATACACATACATATATGTGTGTTTGTATATGTATGTATACGTGTGTGTGTGTATTCCTTGCTTAAGAAAAACCCTATATATGTGTGTTTGTACATATATGTATGTGTATATGTGTGTGTGTGTGTGTGTGTTCCTTGCCTAAGAAAAACCCTATATATGTGTGTGAGTGTATATATGTACATATATGTGTGTGTATATGTACGTACATATATATATATACACACACACACACGTATGTGTGTGTTTGTGTGTGTGTTCCTTGCCTAAGAAAAACCCTATACATACCTACAAGCTAGCCACAAAGATACCAGATCCCTCCTGATTTGGGAGAGTTAAGCAGGGTCGGCCCTGGTTAGGACTTGAATGGGAAATGGTTGAGTCCCGTGTTGTCCTTTGGAGGAAGGAAATGGCACCTCCGAGTCTCCTTTGCCTAAGGAAACCCTACCAAGTTCATTGGGAGTCAACCAACAGGAAAGGCACACAATCTGAACCCAGGGATGAGGGTTCCTCCTCGTTGACGTGAGGCCGGCCATGTTCTTCCCACCCGAAGGAAGGAGTGCCTCTCTCCCGGTCCTTTCCAGGGCAGCAGCAGGAGGAGAAGTTGACGTTGGCACGGCCTTTTCTCTCCCTTGCATGCCCTTTGCCTCGTCCTTCCTGCGGCCGCTCTGGCCCCGCGGACCTGGGCCTGGCTCTGTGTGTGTGTGTTTATCGCTCTTCCTGGAGATTATCTGCCCCAAAGCCCTCCTTGACAGTTACAATAACAAGGGCCATCGCTGCTGCTCCTGCTCCTGCCGCTGCTCCCGCCGCTCTCCCTTTTTTTCCCAGCACAAGTTGCTGCTGAAAGATGGATCGCGCTCATTAGAGGCGCATAACATCCGGCCACATGGCAGCCGCCGGCCTGCGTTTCCTGAGACCCGGCAGCGGCTTTGGATGACAGTGCCTTGCGTGTTTTCCATTGAATGTCGTGTTCTCTGCCAAAGAGAGCCTAGGATCGCATTGGCTTTTTCCGCCGCTGCGTTGCACCCTTGGCTCTGTTTGGGGTTAACCTCTCTGGGCTTGTTTCTCCCTCTCTCCCCCCCCCCCCCCCCCCCCACAGAGTGCCTTTCGGAGGACTGCCGCTCGGTCATCCAGGAGCAGGCCACGGCCTTGGGGCTCTCCATGTTTGCCTTGCTGGTCAAGCGCTGCTCGGCCCTCCTGCGGGATGCCTCCCCAGGTGAGAAGGAGGCCCGGAACGGCCAGGGGCCACTTCACCCAGGGCCAGCGGGCAAGACACTCGCCAGGGAATTCATCAAAGCCCCTCTCTCTAGGATCAGGAATCATGGATTGGAAGAGGGAACCAGATAGATAGGTAGAGAGGTGGAAAGGTGGGTGGATATGACAGAAAGAGATAGGTAGGTAGGTAGGTAGGTAGGTAGACAGACCAATGATTGGTGGCATAGACAGACAGATAATGGTTGGATGGGTGGATAGGATAGGTAGGTAGGTAGATAGGTAGGTAGGTAGGTAGATGATTGATAGCATAGATAAATAGATGGACAGATGGATGGACAGATGGATAGATAGATGGACAGATGGATGGATGGATAGATAGATAAATGATTGATAGCATAGATAGATAGATCGATAGATCAATGGTTGATAGCATGGATGGATGGATGGATGGATGGATGGATAGATAATGGAAGGATGGGTGGATAGAACAAGAAGAAAGAAAGCAGATGGATTGATAGATAGTGTGGATGAATAGATAAAAGATGGTAAGACGAATTGATAGTAGATAGATACATAGATACATAGATAAGGAAATGGAAAGGTGGATGGATAGATAGAAGATGGATGGATATCGTAGGTAGGCAGGCAGGCAGGTAGGTAGGTAGGTAGAGGATGGGTGGGTGGATAGGATAGGGTAGGATAGATAGATGATTGATAGCATAGATAGATAGATAGATAGATAGATAGATAGATAGATAGAAGCTGGATAGATAGAAGATAGATAGATAGATAGCATGGATGAATAGATAACAAGATGGAAAGATGGATATGACACTAGATAGATAGATAGATAGATAGATAGATAGATCAATAGATCAGTGATTGATAGCATGAATGGATGGATGGATGGATAAATGATAGATAGATAGATAGATAGATAGATAGATAGATAGATAGATAGATAATGGATGGGTGGATATGATAGAAAGAAAGAAATAGATGGATTGATAGCATGGATGAACAGATAAAAATGGTAAGACGAATGGATAGATAGATACATAGATATATAGATACATAGATAAATAAGGAAATGAAAAGGTGGATGGATAGATAGAAGATGGATGGATATCATAGATAGATAGAGAGAGAGAAGATGGATGGATAGAAGATGGATCGATTGATAGCATGGATGAATAGATGGATGAATATGACAGTAGATAGATAGATAGATAGATAGATAGATAGATAGATAGATAGATAGATAGATAGATCAATAGATGGATGATTGATAGCATAGATGGATGGATGGATGGATGGATGGATGGATGGATGGATGGATAGGTAGGTAGATAGATAGATAGATAGATAGATAGATAGATAGATAGATAGATAGATAGATAGAGGAATGATAGAGAAAGAAGAGAGCTGATACCGGAATATAGATAGAGGAATGATAGATCGATAGAGAAAGAGAGACAATAGATAGATAGATAGATAGATAGATAGATAGATGGTAGATAGATGAAAGATAGATAGATGAATGGATAGAAAGACAGACAGACAGGAATGATAGACAGGAATGTAGATGGATAGATAAATGATAGATTTATAGATAGATAGATAGATAGATAGATAGATAGATAGATAGATAGATAGATGTTAAAGAAGAAAGAGAGGTGATAGAGGAATATAGATAGAGAAATGATTGATAGATAATGGAAGGAGGGGTGGATAGGATAGATAGAAAGAAAGAAAGAAAGATGGATTGATGGATAGCGTGGAAGAATAGATAAAAGATGGTAAGGCGAATAGATAGATAGATACATAGATACATAGATAAGGAGATGGGAAGATGGATGGATATCATAGATAGATAGATAGATAGATAGATAGATAGATAGATAGATAGATAGACAGACAGACAGTAAGAAGGTGGAAAGATGGATTGATAAGATGGATAGATAGGAATGAGATGAAAAGATGGATTGCATAGATGGATGGATAGAAGATGGAAAGATGGATGAAGGGATAGAATCCTAGAGCTAGTAAACCCCCCTACGAGAGAGAGAGAATCCTAGAGCTGTAACAGGGCCTCCCAAATCCTAAGATAGGTGGATGGATGGATGGATGGATAATAATAATAATAATAATAATAATAATAATCTTTATTTATACCCCACCACCATCACCCCAAAGGTGACTCGGGACAGTTAACAAGCCCAGAATTACAGTACAATAAAATAAAATACAAGCAAATAATAACATCAAAATAAAATACATGAAATAAACAGATGCAAAATAACGTAAATAAAAAATAAAAGCACGGTGGATGGATTGATGGATAGATCGACAGACAGACAGATAGATAGAATCCTTGAGCTGGGAGTGACGACAAGAGCTATCTATCCAATCCCCCTATGTAATAGATACATAGATAGCATCCTAGTGTTGGAAGGGACCCTTCTGCCAGGCAGGAAGACACAATTCAACCCCTCCCGACAGATGGCCACCCATCCTCTGCTTCAAAACCCCCTGAGGAGAGGACTCCACTTGATTCTCAGGTGGCAGCGTATCCCACCCGCTGACTCTCCTTTCTGTCTTTCTGCAGGGAGTCCGTCTCCGGGGGGCTCCTCCGAGGACAACGATGACGACATCAAGGTCTCCTCTCTGCCTCCAGACCTCAAGGAGCTGCTGCCCAGCGTCAAGGTCTGGTCGGACTGGATGCTCGGACACTCGGACACCTGGAACCCGCCCCCCAGCGCCCTGGAGCTGCCCCCAGAGTACGTCCCTTACGGTTATTTTCCTACTTCCGTTCAATGTTTCTCAACCTTCCTGATGCCACGACCTTCTTTGTGGTGACCCCCAACCATAACACTATTTTCATTGCTACGTCATCACTGTCATTTTGCTCCTGTTATGAATCGTCATGTAAATATCTGATATGCAGGGTGTATTTTCATTCACTGGACCACATTTGGCACAAATATCGGATACGCCCAAATTTGAATACTGGTGGGGTTGATTTTGTCATTTGGGAGTTGTAGTTGCTGGGATTTATAGTTCTTCTACATTCCAAGCACATCTTGAGTCCCACTAATGATAGAATTGAAACAAACTTGGCACACAGAACTCCCATGACCAACAAAAAATACCGGAAGGGTTTGGTGGGCATTGACCTTGAGTTTGGGAGTTGTAGTTCACCTATATCCAGAGAGCATTGCAGACTCAAACAATGATGGATCTGGACCAAACTTGGCACAAATACTCAATATGCTCAAATGTGAACACTGGTGGATTTGGGGAAAACAGACCGTGACATTGGGGAGTTGTAGTTGCTGGGATTTATAGTTCACCTACAATGAAAGAGCATTCTGAACTCCACCAACGATGGAATTGAACCAGACTTGGCAGACAGAACTCCCATGGCCAACAGAAAATACTGGAAGAGTTTGGTGGGGATTGATCTTGAGTTTTGGAGTTGTAGTTCACCTACATCTAGAGAGCACTGTGTACTCACAATGATGGATCTGGACCAAACTTGGAATGGATACTCAGTATGCCCAGATGTGAACACGGGTGCAGTTTGAGGAAAACAGACCTTGACATTTGGGAGTTGTAGTTGCTGGGATTTATAGTTCACCTACAATGAAAGAGCATTCTGAACTCCACCAACAATGGAATTGAACCAAACTTGGCACACAGAACCCCCATGACCAAAAGAAAATAGTGTGTTTTCTGATGGTCTTTGGTGACCCAGGGTTTGAAAAACACTGTTCTAAGGGGAAATGTATTAGGCACATTGCTCCTGGGTGTCTGTCGGGAGAGCTTTAGTTGTGTCCCTCCTCTTCCAATTCTAGTAGGGAGCAAAATATATATTCCAAGGTGAATAGTGTTTCTGGGCATCTTTCAGGAGAGTTCTAGTTGTGTGTCTCCCCTCATTGCAATTCTAGTAGGGAGCAAAATATATATTCCAAGGCGAATAGTGTTTCTGGGCGTTTGTCGGGAGAGCTTTAGTTGTTTCCCCCCTCTTTTAATTCTAGTAGGGAGCAAAATAGTGTTTCTAGGCATCTGTTGGGAGGGCTTTAGTTGTGTGTCCCCTCTTCTAATTCTAGTAGGGAGCAAAATATATATTCCAAGGCGAATAGTATTTCTGGGCATCTGTCGGGAGAGCTTTAGTTGTGTCCCCCCTCTTCCAATTCTAGTAGGGAGCAAAATAGTGTTTGTGGGCGTCTGTCGGGAGGACTTTAGTTGTGTGTCCACTCTTCTAATTCTAGTAGGGAGCAAAATATATGTTCCAAGGCGAATAGTGTTTCTGGGTGTCTGTTGGGAGAGTTTTAGTTGTGTCCCCCCCTTCCAATTCTAGTAGGAGAATGGATTGTCCTTTGGATGCCTTTCGGGAGGGCTTGAGTTGTGTATTTCCGCAAGGATTTGGTCTGGATTCGACGGGAGTGCCTCCTCCGTTCGCCCCATGCGTGCCCTGTCCCCCCAATGGCTCTTTCTCTCTACTCCATGACCCCCCCCCCCCAAGGGTCAGTTGGCACCCCAGACCCATGTGCCGTGTGCCAGCTCTTCTTATCGCTGTGTTTACATCCTGCTTCTCATCCCGCAAGGGGGCCAAGACGCCTCACCCCATTGGGCCCCTTCCAAGCACATCCTCTCCCTCCCGGTTGTCCTCTCCCTGGACCCTTTCCCCTGCCCCTCCGAGCCCCCTTCGTCCGTCCATCCGTCCATCCCATGCCAAGTCTCCGTGAGAGGGAAGCCTCGGGACGACATCCATTTAAACAAACAGGATATCCGACCTGTTTCTCATCCTCCGCTCCCTCTTTTTCTCGCTGCCCCCCCCTTTTTTCCCCTTCTCGTTTTCTTGGCCAAGGAAATGGAAATCTCACACAGGAAGCGCCAGGCCCCATTTTTGGGGTCTGTTTTCTGTTTGGCGGCTCAGATGCGGCGGTGGCTGCTCCGGAGAGGAGCCCGACCCTTCCTCTTCCCTCTCTTTTGCCTCCGTTCCTTTCATTCCAAACTTTCCTTTTATGGATGGCCATCTGTCGGGAGGGCTTTAATTGTGTTGACCTTTATGGGGGTTGGACTGGATGGCCCATGGGTTCTCCTCCAACTTTAGGATCCTATTATTATTATTATTATTATTATTATTATTATTATTATTATTGTATTTCCCTGGCATCTCCTCCAACTTTAGGATTCTATTATTATTATTATTATTATTATTATTATTATTATTATTATTATTATTATATTTCCCTGGGGTCTCCTCCAATTTTAGGATTCTATTATTATTATTATTATTATTATTATTATTGTCATATTTCCCTGGGGTCTCCTCCAACTTTAGGATTCTATTATTATTATTATTATTATTATTATTATTATTATTATTATTATTTTATTGTTATTTTTCCCTGAGGGTCTCCTCCAACTTTAGGATTCTATTATTATTATTATTGTTATTGTTATTATTATATTTCCCTGGGGTCTCCTCTAACTTTAGGATTCTATTATTATTATTATTATTATTATTATTATTATTATTATTATTATTGTTATTTTTCCCTGGGGTCTCCACCAACTTTAGGATTCTATTATCATTATCATTATTATTATTATTATTATTATTTTTCCCTGGGGTCTCCTCCAACTTTAGGATTCTATTATTATTATTATTATTATTATTATTACTATTATTATTATTATATTTTAGTAGTCAAAGTAGTGTATTATTATTATTATTATTATATTTAACATTTCTAGTATTAGTATATTATTAGTAGTAGCAGTATATTTATTATTATTCTATTTAGTAGCAGTAGTGTATTTCTTTTTATTGATCTGGATGGCCCCTGAGGGTCCCCTCCAACTTTAGGATTCTATTATTATTATTATTATTATTATTATTATTATTACATTTTAATAGTGTAATATTATTATATTTATCATTTCTAGCATTAGTATATTATTATTAGTTTGGGAAAAAAATCCTGTATTGTCAAAGGCTTTCATGGCCGGAATCACTGGCTTGTGGTGTGTTTTCTGGGCTGTATAGCCATGTTCCAGAAGCATTCTCTTCTGACATTTTGCCTGCATCTATGGCAGGCACCCTCAGAGGTTGTGAGACCTGTTCTTGGTTTGAAAGTGTTACTTCCTGTTTAATTGTGCAGACCTTTCCATTGAAAGTTGTTTTACTCCAGAAACGTGGTTTTTGTGGCTGCCACAAACGGTGACGAATTGGTTGAAACTCTCGGATGAGATCTTCATTGCAAAACTATCACAAAATGTGCAGCAGGATGTCCCTCCCGCATAAACATATAATATTATTATTACGCAGAGAGTAGGTGGCCATCTGTCGGGAGGGCTTTGATTGTCTTTCTTTATGAGGGTTGGACCAGATGACCCATGGGGTCTCCTCCAAGTGTAAGGTTCTATTATTATTATTATTATTAGTAGTAGTAGTAGTAGTATTAAGCAGGGACTGGATAGCCATCTGTCAGGGGTGCTTTGATTTTGTCTTTCTTTATGGGGGTTGGACTGGATGACCCCTGGGGTATCCTCCAAGTATAAGGTTATATTATTAGTATTATTATTAATAGTAGTAGTAGTAATAGTATCAAGCAGGGACTGGATGGCCTTCTGTCGGGAGGGCTTTGATTGTGTTTTTCTTTATGAGAGTTGAACAGGATTATAATAATATAGTAATAGTATTAAGCAGAGACTGGATAACCTCTGGGTCTCCTGCAGGTGTAAGGTTATATTATTATTATTATTATTATTATTATTATTATTATTACTAGTCATAGTGTTAATCAGGGACTGGATAGCCCCTGGGGTCTCCTGCAGGTGTAACTTTCTATTGGTATTATTATTATTATTATTATTATTAGTGATAGTGTTAAGCAGGGACTGGATAACCCCTGGGGTCTCCTGCAGGTGTAAAGGTCTATTGGTATTCTTATTCTTATTATTATTATTATTATTAGTGATAGTGTTAAGCAGGGACTAGATAACCCCTGGGGTCTCCTCCAAGTATAAGGTTCTATTGGTATTATAATAATAGTAATAGTAATAGTGTTAAGCAGGGACTGGATAACCCCTGGGGTCTCCTGCAGGTGTAAAGGTCTATTGGTATTCTTCTTCTTCTTCTTCTTCTTCTTCTTCTTATTATTATTATTATTATTATTATTATTATTATTAGTCATAGTGTTAAGCAGGGACTGGATAGCCCCTGGGGTCTCCTGCAGGTGTAACTTTCTATTGGTATTATTATTATTATTATTATTATTAGTCATAGTGTTAAGCCAGGACTGGATAGCTCCTGGGGTCCCCAGCAAGTGTAAGTTTTTATTGGTATTATTATTATTATTATCATCAATAATAATAATAATAGTCATAGTGTTAAGCAGGGATTGGATAGACCCTGGGGTCCCCTGTAGGTGTAAAGGTCTATTGGTATTATTATTATTATTATTATTATTATTATTATTAGTCATAGTGTTAAGCAGGGACTGGGTAACCCCTGGGGTCTCCTCCAAGTATAAAGTTCTATTGGTATTATTATTATTATTATTATTAATAATAATAATAATAATAATAATAATAGTCATAGTGTTAAGCAGGGACTGGATAGACCCTGGGGTCTCCTGCAGGTGTAAAGGTCTATTGGTATTATTATTATTATTATTATTACTATTATTATTAATAATAATAATAATAATAGTCATAGTGTTAAGCAGGGACTGGATAGACCCTGCGGTCTCCTGCAGGTGTAAAG